TCCAGAGGCTCCCAATATCCCGATTCATCCCCAGTAGCGTCCTACAACTATACCATAAACACCGTACACAAAACAAACCCCTCCCACCCCCTTCTTCCCTCCTCTTCCCTCCTCTTCCACCCTCACCCAAAAACTATTCAACACAAACATACCTCCTGCTGATGCCCCCCCCGACAAAACCACAGCCCATTTTCCAAGATATACCGCATCTCAAGACATCCGTCCTGCCCGCACACGCCGCGGGTAACGTATTCCTCCATGATCCAAATCCTATCCTGTCGCGCCCTGTCCTATCCGCCGCTGTCTTGATCTAGTTATGTCCCATTGATAAAGTCCGGGAGAAGAGCAAGGGGAATAGGTTCCGATATCCGGCTGTTATTTTACCGCCAACCCCATCCCTCCCCTCCTCTCCTCCTCTCCTCCTCCTCTTCTTGCCCTAAGACCTGGTTTGGGCGGAAGAGGAATGGAATGGAGTGATGAAGCTGCTGTGTAACTGCGATGCGGTTGTATATATGGATTTCCGTAGCGAGCGGTTTCCCAAGATGTAAATAGCTTGTTCATTTACAGAGTTTAGCGGGGGTTCCTGATGCGCCTCTTGCCACCACCAAAATCTATCTTCACAAGGGATTGCGAGATGCAAAGGAGAGGGCGGGGCAAACGCAGAGATGAGCAAAGTTGAAAAACAGGGGAGGAAAACTTCTTTTTTGGGCTTTTTTGTTTTTTCATCTTTTTCCAGTATGATTTACAACGCGGGACAGTTTACCAACGGCTAAATCTAGGGTTTTTTGTGCCCTTTCACACTTAAAAAGTAATCCATTCGCATGTCTCGGAGGAGTCACTTTCTAACACTTGTAAAATATCATGAAATTATTCTTTTTACATTGACTTCTCTCGACGTCTTGTCAAATGATAAAAAAGTATGAGAGAAACAATTAAAATTCAAATGCAAAAATCTAAAAAAGAACCTCAATTCATGTTTTTTTCTGTTTTTCTTTATTTCATCTTATTCATCACAAGTTGTGTCAAATCATGAATGAGAACAGTTGCATTTCCTTGTTTTATTCTCTTTTTTTTTTTTTTTTTTTTTTTTTCCTCTCTCCTTTCTTGTAAATGAGTCAAAATATATACTCATTTTTGACAGAAAGAGCGTACACACATGAACATGACAGACACAACTGAGACGCGAAAAACACGCACACAAAAAATAAAATAAAAATAAAAATAACAATAAAAAACCTTAGAGAGATGCTTTGAATCTAGCTGCGGGGGGCTTCCTTGGCATCCATAGCAACCTCCTCACCCATGGCAGTCAAAACGACGACGTCTGCGTGTGCTTAAGTGTTAGATATCCGGCTAGATGAAGGCAAAGAAGAAAAAGAGAGAGAAAGGGAAGAACAGATGAGGATGAATCGTAAAAACGTACTGGTATCCTTCTCCTCGACACGGAAGAGCTTCTCAATCTTCTCACCCACCTCGCCCTCAGGGAGTTTGACGTCGTCCTTGGTGGAGCCATCATCGGACATGAGAGACAGGAAGCCGTCGTCGGTGATATCGAGCTGGTGGGGTGATTAGCACACCTACTTCTTTTCTCTTTCTTCTCACCAAAAATAGCAAAGCGAAACACAAAGGGAGATTATTAAAAATAAAAAATAAAAAAATAAAAAATAAAAAAATAAAAAGGAGAGAGAAACGTACCAATTGGTATTCTTTGCGATAGACATTCGGCACCTCCATGTTGTGGGTGGAAGGGCAGAGATCCTCAAGTTTCTTGGAGGTGAAGATGTCGATGGCGACCAGGTGGACTTTGGCGTGGCCGTGCTTGCCGGTCTTGGAGGTGGACATCTCGACGATTTTGCAGGGGCGGTTTTTGATCACGACGTAGCCGTTCTTGCGCAGGGCAGAGCACTGCATGGGGAACGTGGCTGAGGCGCCGGCGTCGGCGCTCTCGAAGGTGTGTTCATGCTGGTTGTAGGGAGAGGGGGGGGGGGGGGAAAAGGCTGTTAAGTTTACATTTACTTATTTTCCGTATATTATAGGAGTGCATGTG